CCCCCGTGCTTGGTACCTCACACTGGGGGCTGGAAGTTATGCTTTCAGAGGGACCTGTTGGCAGGCATCTGTCCTGGGGCCTGAGCAGAGAAGGCAAGAGAGCAAGAGCAGAGTCACAGAAGGGGTGCCAGAAAAGCCCGGATCGCAATTCCTGGGGTGCACCGATGGCTCCAACGGGGGCGAAGGGGAGCCCACTGATCGGGGATGATGACGTGCAGTTAGACAAAAGCCTCCTGGGGATGTCCAGAGGAGCTGGGAACAGAACTGCAGAGGGTGGCGGAAGAAGGACGTCTCCTTCTCTTCCACAGCATTTAAAAGACAGACGCACCTGCCCACCATGGATACAGGGTCCCTAATTAGCAGAATTGGGGCAATGAGGGTTTCTTTTTTTAGACTACATCTCCCCACATCCCCCAGCCAACTTAGCTATCGGGATTCGGGGAGTTGTATTCCAAAGGAAGACAGAGAGTGCCAAAGCTCTGCTAAAGTTGTGCTTCCGGGCACATTCCGCATCGCTGTCATGGGAATAAACGGCACGGGGAGGATGGTGGTGTCAGGTTGATAAGAACCTGGTCCAGGGGCTGGGGGGAAGAGATGGCATGCCAGGGCCAGGGTCCCTGTTCTCCCCATACAGCCATGTGCAAATATTGACCACAATAAGCTGGAGATAAGCATTATCTCCATTCCTGCCCGGCCTGGCATTCCCAGATTCCCAAGCCGGGCTGGGCTCTGGGAGGCTCCTCATGGATTAGTCAAGAGCAACAGTCATGGTTCTGCCCCCCCCCGATACTTGGGAGGCCCTGGCGTATGGGGAAGGGAATGGAGGGGGGGTGGAGAAAAGCTTCCAACAGCCCCCCCTCCTCCGCAGTGTTGCCAGGATGGATCAGATCCAGGGGACTTGAGAGAGGCTTCTAGTCCAGCGGCAACATCCCTTGGAGACATCTTCTCAACCTCTCCGTTACCTTCCTCTGCAGGTTTGGAAGTTGGGCATCTGCCCCAGAAAGGAACGCTGTCAGGAGGTTCCGGGATCGACTTCCCCTTGGCACAGCTGAGCCGCTTCCTTCCTTCTTCCCTTCTTGGCTTCCAAATCCAATTCTGCAAAATGTTATCCTTCTCCGAGTCTTTCCATGTGGCTGATAATCATGGGATACTGGCTGCGCCAGTTGAACAAATAAAGATCCTTAAAGCTGAAATGTGTTTTTGCTTGTCAAACACAAAAAGAACATTGTGAACATACTGTACTGATTTTATCTTAACATTGTTTGGTCGTGTCCAACTCTTTGTGACCCCCCATGGACCAGAGCACACCAGGCCCTCCTGTCTTCCACGGCCTCCCAGAGTTGGGTCAAATTCATGTTGGTCACTTCGATGACCCTGCCCAACCATCTCGTCCTCTGTCGTCCCCTTCTCTCCTCTTGCCTTCACTCTTTCCCAACATCAGGGTCTTTTCCAGGGAGTCTTCTCTTCTCATGAGATGGCCAAAGTATTGGAGTTTCAGCACTCAGGGTTGATTTCCTTTAGAATGGATAGGTTTGTTCTCCTTGCCGTCCAGGGGACTTTCAAGAGCCTCCTCCAGCACCCTTCATGGATTGCTGCCTTGTCGTGGCGAAGGGGCTTGAGTAACTCAGAGAAGCTATGGGCTATGCCGTGCAGGGACACCCAAAATGGACAGGATATAGTGGAGAGTTCCGACTAAACGCAATCCACCTGGAGTAGGAAATGGCAATGCCACTCCAGTATCTTTGCCAATAAAACCCCATGAACAGAAACAAAAGGCTAAAAGATATGACGCTGGAAGATGGGCCCCTCAAATTGGAAGGCATCCAACATGCTATTGAGGAAGAGCAGAGGACAACTACAGTGGGGTCTTGACTTAAGAACGGCTTGAGTTAAGAACATTTTGACTTAAGAACCACTCTCATAGGAAAATATTGACTTGACTTACATACTTAGATTTGAGTTAAGAACTGAAAAAAAACCACGTGGGAGGCAGGGAAAGTGCAAAATGTGAACTTTCAGTTAACTCGCCTTCTTCTTGGGAGGAAAGCGATGACAAATCTTGACAGCATCTTGAAAAGCAGAGACATCACCTTGCCGACAAAAGTCCGAATAGTCAAAGCTATGGTTTTTCCTGTCGTGATGTATGGAAGTGAGAGCTGGACCATAAAGAAAGCTGACCGCCGAAGAATTGATGCCTTTGAATTGTGGTGCTGGAGGAGGCTCTTGAGAATCGCCTGGACTGCAAGGAGAACAAACCTATCAGTTCTAAAGGAAATCAACCCTGAATGCTCACTTGAAGGACAGATTCTGAAGCTGAGGCTCCAGTACTTTGGCCATCTCATGAGAAGAAAAGAGTCCTTGGAAAAAACCTTGATGTTAGGAAGGTGTGATGGCAAGAGGAGAAGGGGACGACCGAGGATGAGATGGCTGGACAGTGTCTGCGAAGCAACCAACATGAACCTGACACAACTCCGGGAGGCAGTAGAAGACAGGAGGGCCTGGCGTGCTCTGGTCCATGGGGTCACGAAGAGTCGGACACGACTAAACGACTAAACACACACAACATAATTACTTTTTTTTTTGCCTGGGAGTCCCAAGACTCTTTCCGGCTTGAGGCACTGATGCAGCTGCACCTGGTGCCGCCCGACTGTGCCAGAACATGGACTGGGTCAGAAGGCACGCTTGATATAAAGAACCCACACATCATGCCTCTGTTACGGTGAGCCTATCCACAGAGCAGCCATGGACATTCATGGTCTTTTAAGAGGCTGGATCCGGAGTCAGTACAACTAAGCATACTGGCTGTGCAAATACTGTATCCCTTTTAGTAAACTAAGGGCTTAGTCTGGACGAGGGTGGAAAACAAGCAAGCAAACAAAGGAGGAGATCTAAAACTGGGGAGAAGGTAGACTCTCCTTCGGCTGGCTGGGAAACAAGCCCCCATCCCCCCCCCGTCCCCTTCTCCTTCTCCTGTAGAAACAGCGGGAGGGGAATCCTCTGGATTTCAACCAGTGGGCACCTCCGTGCGCAGGTGTATGTAGGAATGTTCTGTGTACGTTGTGGTGGATTGCAAACGTCGAAGTTTTGTCCTGAGGACCTTCCTGCCTTGCGCTACCTGGTGCCAGCTGAAAGTTCTGCTCTTTTTCACTGACAAAACCCTGGCCAAACCAAGCACCGACCCAGCCTGGTGGTTTGGCAGAGATTCCCAAGGCGCTTTTCTTGGTTCCTCTCTCCTGACGGCAGAGGGCCATCTCCCATCCCATCCTGCGGGTGTCCGGCCAAATCGGCCCTCAGCTTTCTCCGGTACAGAGTTGCAACCTTGAACCATAAAATGTGCTTTCTGTCAGGGCAGTCTGAAGACTTGAGTCATACCTAGGAAAGAAAACTGATTTTTCCAAGAATTAAAAACAAGTAAGCTGGATCAACAAAAGCAGAAGCAACACACAAAGCCACTGTGAGCTTCTGTGGGTCGCAGTCCATTTATATTGTCTTCTGTTTTGTTTCCGTTGTTGCTGAAAGAGAAGCACACAGCCACCTCCCAGAAAACTGCAAGGATGCCTATTATCAACCACTTGAGAATATTTGAAAGTGGCATTGGTGTACCTGCGGAGCAGGAAACTTGACATACCTGATTTCTATCCATAGCCAGAAGAGCCTCTGGGGAAAATCCCAGGTGTCTCAGCTTTGCTTGTATCATCGTAGACCAGGAAGACTGGAAGTTGTCACGTAGGACCAAGGATGCTAAATCTGATGTTGTGTGATTGAGTCTGAGCCAGAGATTGGCGGAGGAAAAGTAGGACTCTGGCCTCAACTTTTATCATCCCTGTCTCCAATCGTAGCCTAGCATTGGATGCATAACTGGAGACCTAGAAGATGGACCTTAGGAATTTTGACTGAACTCGTTCCAATGGGGCAAAGATAGTGGAAGGAGGGCCCAGTAAAGTCCTATATAATAGTTGGGGAAGGGATTTGGGTTGGTATAATTTAATTGCAGCAGGGATGTAATGGCCACCTTTAGTTCTTGCGGACCTGGCGATGGCCAACGGAAGCTACATGTTCACGGCGGGCTGTCCGTGCCCATGATGATGGCTTTGAAAAGGTCTTGGCTGTGCTCTGATCCCCTGGGAAGTTCTCCTGGGTCAGGAGTGGTTTCTGTTCATGCCCAGCGACATCTGGCAGGTGAACAGTCCCCTTGCTCCCTCCTCATTTCTGGTGGCCTTGGGGTGCGTTCAGCCTGGAGGCAGGTGGTGCAGCTTGGCCTCTCCCAATTTGAAGAGACCCTTGTCCAGCAGGCCGAGGCAAGGAGGTCATCCCGAAACCAGCAAAACCAGGGAGCTGGACGGGGGACAGATTGTCTTTGTCTTCAGTGTGGGAGGGATTGTTGTCACTCTCGAACTGGCCTTCTCAGCCACACCAGACGCTATTCTGAGTCCTCCATTCAGAGCACGTGGCCCTAGTCTCTTGAGAGGGAAGGATGCCTACTTAGGGGTGCTTTAACGCTTGCGATCAGAACAGGTGTCGGCTTGCTTAGTCCAAAGGAGGAAAAGCTAAGGAGCCAAAGCTGATGAAGCCAGCATGCGTCAGTGTGGTCAGTGATGCAGCAGCCTCCCTCCATTCGGTCCTAACAGTTGGGCCCGTGCTGTTTTGACCCAGCTGTCTCTTTTGCAGTCCCTCCCTCTTGTGTGGGTCCCTCCCAAGACCAGGTCGGTGGAATAAGACCCTCTTTGGCTTCTTTCCAAGCCTCGCCCTCTTCCCCCCCCCAAACCTTTTTTGTTTTTGTTTTTTTTAATCCCATTCCCGGGGCCTGGTTCATCTCTGTTTCACCTCAGCCCAGAGCAAGGTCACCTCTGTGTCCCATGGAAAAACCCCAGCGACAGGATTCCCCCGGGCTGGAGAGCAGCAACATTGCAGCCCAACCCTTTCAGCTTTGCTCTCCCGGCCTTTTAGTTCCCCACATCTGGAACATTGGGTAATGTTTAACAGTGGCATTGAAGCTGTGGATTCGGTGACTCTGCCCCTCCTGGTGATCAGAGGAGGACCGAACAAAACGCAGCGGGAGCTGGCTGGAGGAACACCCTCGGGGAGACCTTCCGCTCCTTCCCTAGCCCTCCGAGATGGGATCCTGGCTGCTGGGGGCTTGGCCCGCCACTTTGGCCCTCCTGGTTTTCATCGATGTGGGGCATGGAGCAGAGCTCAGGGACGCCGCTTGGGAGGCAGAGGTGGGTACCACTGTGGGGGGGGAGGGCTTTTGTTGGGGGGGGCTCCGTAGAACCTCCTCCCGTTGCTTCTTAAGAGGCTTCACCTCACTTCCAAGCGTGGACGGGCTTTAAGAATAAGAATAACCTTGAAACGGCACAGCTGGAAGGAAACGCTTGGACCTCAGCCACTGGCCTTTGATGGCATAGAGGCCTTTGGCTTTGTAGGGGAGCATGGGCCTTGCAGTCGTGTACGTGTCCCGCAGCGCAGCCAAGCAGAAGCTCCGCAGCCACCAGTGTGACTTGGATTGACACTAAAACATTCATATAACAGTAAATTTTTGAAATCAACATTTCAAAATGGGAGGAAAGACTGGGTGAGACATATTTCTTCCCAGAGATCTGCTCATTATTGCTCAACGGTGAAGGGCGTGCTTCGTAGGGGCCGGGCACGGTGAAGCACAAAGGTAGTCCTTGTTCTTGACCTTCGAGGTCTTCGTTCCGTTGGTCGTAAGCAGGTGGATTTGGACGCTTGCAGTTCAGAACTCTCTCTTCCCTCCTCTTCCCTCCATGGATTCTCTGAATGCATCTGACTTCAGCCTTCTCTTGTTGTGTTCTTCACCCCCATGGACATCATCCTTCTTTTTCTCCTCCTCCTCCTCTTTGGACAGTCTCTATTTTTGAAATAAAATGAAGTTGAGATTGGGGCCTGGAGGCGCCGTGCTGTCCAAGGCCTCGCCAGGGGACCCTTCCATCACTGCCCTTGTTTCTTGACCTCCAGGGTGACCCCCGCAAGGGAGAGGTGGCAAATCTCCGGTTGTCCAGGACCACCCAGCGAAGCAAACCCACCTTCTACCGGACCGGCAGCCTTTCTGCCCTCAGCAGAGGCCTGATGACCAACCTGGTGAGTGTGCCCTGAATATCAGCGTGGCACAAAATAGCCACGGTTTGTACCAGAGAGTTCGGCATGGAGCTGGGGAAGGGCCACACACACACACACACCCCTCGATGCTCTGCCCTGCTGAGTTTTCTCCCCCCACCTCCCACCCCAGCCATTCCAAGGGCTTCCCTGGTCTCTCAGGAAAAGTCTCTCTTAGCTCTGGAAATTCCCACTGAGGTTCGAAGGCCACTTCGCTTGCCCCTTGCGTGCCTCACTTGGGGCCCGACTCCCCTGCGTCTTTTGCAATTGCTGCCGTGTGATGCTGGCGGAACCCCACACAGCCACCTCTTAGATAGCGCTGCCGTTTGTGCTGGAAAGCAAAAAGTGCTTGTCTGTGCACAACCCGAGTCATTGGACGTTGGGTGCAAAGAAGGGGCCCAACGGGGAGCGGATGAGGGCAAGGCCTCGGGCCTGGGGGAAGTTACCCGTTTGCCCTGAGCCGAGGGGAATGGTCCTGGGGGGCACAAGCCAGCCGGCCCCACACCCCTCTTTCTGATCCTTTGCAGAGCGTTGTGGAAGAAGTCCCAGAAGAAGTCGAGGACGCCCAGCGTCGTGAGAGGCAGGCCAGCCTCATCAGGGATCCCTGTTGGGGGTGCTGTGTGACTCGGTTTCCCAACCACACAGGGAGCAGAGAGGTAAGAGGTGGCGGGGGCCAGTTCTTGGGCAGGTCCTTAATCCTTCGGGACTGTCTGCGCCCTTTTCGGAAGAGGGTTCCCGCTGCTCAGCTTGACCTTGCATTGAGCGATCCTCCTTCCCCCACAGCCCTGCCCTCCTTGCTTTTCCCTTTTGCATTCACGGGCCCATTTGTACGTGAACTCAAGAAATGTCCTGCCCTCTATTGAGTGAAGAGCAGCTGAAAAATAAAACCAGTCTCACTTTCTCCCCCCCCCCAAAAAAAACAACTTCTCTGTCAAGAAAGGATCTCGTCCTCTGTAATACTGAAATAAACCGTTTTGTACTAAACTTGCGTGGTTACCCCATTCTGGCCACTCAGCAGTGCCCCCCCCATCAAGGAAAGCCACGGGGCTTAACCACCACGTCTTCTTTCCCTTTCTGACCAAACTAGCCCGCCAGAGGGGATGCGGGGCGACCGGGCACCACCCCTCCACCCAAGCCACCAAAGAGGAACACGACCAAAGGGTACCACCGTCCTGGCGCGTACACCCCCATGGGGAAACTGCGGCCGGAAGGCAGGCAGGTGGGAAGGGACCCCCTGTAGCCGGACCACCCCAGAAGGGTGGAGATGGCTGGGAATACCCTTCCTCCCCTGGTGGGGGGGCAGGGGCTGGAAGGGGGGGTCCCGAGGGAAGGGCCTGGTGTGGCTGATCCCCAAGCGCGCCTTCTTTCTTCCTTAGGCCGGATCCTCTCCTGAGATAAAAGGGTCGGGCCGCCAAGAAGCCAACGCCACTGAGCGCTGCCGAGGCTGCTGTGGGGCAAACGGTCCAGCAGACGGTCGGCCCCTGGGAAGAGGGGAGGAAGGGAGAGGGTCCCAAACCTCGCAGGTAAGGAGGGGCAGGCATCAGGGGACGGGGTCAAAGAGGCAGACATGTGCGTGCGCACACACTGGCTGCCTTTCCACCCAGGTCAACCCCCTTTTCAGACATTATGTGACTAAAATGCAGCCTAAAAGGGTCCACGCCTTCCAGCCTCTGCGTGTTTCCCAGCATGTCCATTTTGTGTGTGGGAGGGCTGCGGGGCGGACTGGACCCATGGATCAGGTCCACCCACTCTCTTCCTCCTCCTCCTCCTCCTCCTCGGCCACCTTCTCAGTGTCGCCCATTGTCTTTTGTGTCGCGGTGGGCCTCTCGCCCTGGCCTCCTCTTTTCCACGGCATGGAGCAGAGATAGCTCCGTGCTTTCCTCACAACCAACATCGATTGGGAATGTCCCAATCCACTCATGCGGGGAGTATGGGAGTTGTAGTTGAAAGCAGCTCCTTTTCTAGGCTCTGTGAAGGAATTTGCCTGAGTGGGGAAGCTCTTTCTCGAGGTTGACGAGAGACTCAGCAGGACGGAAGCGCCGCGACCAGGTGAAGGCTGGGTCGGACGCCACGCCTGCTCACGCCCCGGCCTCTCCTTCCACAGGGTCACTCCGGCGAGAGGCCGCAGAGGCCTGTCTCGGACCGGGAGGTCCCGGCCGACCGGCCTGCCCAGAAGGGAGAAAACGGCTGGTCCTCCTTCTCCAGAGGCGTCCATGAGCCCCAAAGGCAACCACACCGAGGAGGGCCGTGAATGGCGAAGGGCAACCGGGAAAGAGGCCACGAACCGAAAGAAGATCCTTGGCAGGAACGGGAGATGAAGGCAGAGAGAGTCTTCACCTGCACAGACCCTGCCTCCCCATGGACTCCCGTTCTCGTCACTCTCTCTCTCTCTCTCTCTCTCTCTCTCTCTCCCCCCCCCCCACAGAATCAAGAAACAGCAGCCAAGAACTGACCCGGACTTGGCCAACGAGGCCCCGCGGGGGGAGGNNGCCAACGAGGCCCCAGGTGGGGAGGGGGCTCGGGCAGCTCTGGAGGGCTGGGGCGGAGCTGGTCTAGGCTGGCCCTGTTTCAGTCCGGGCAACGCGCTGCCCACCTGCCGCAGGGGAGCCACGTGGGAACCTCCTCCTTTGGACTCAGAGGCATGATGGCTGGAAGTGTCGGCTCTGTTACCTGGTGCTTTAGAAGCAAACCAAAAGCTGGACCCCAAGCAAGGAGGAGGAGGAGGAGGAGGAGAAAGGCAACCCACAAACGATATAGATAGAGAAATATAGAAAGAATTAAATTAAAAAGCTGCTCCTTCTTCCTCCCCCCAGCTTTAATTAGGGCTTTCAAATGGTCATGTGCTTGGGTGTGTGCAATTTCTACAAAATAATACTGTTCCTGTAAAATAAAAAGCAACAGGACTTAAGGATTTGCAATGTGTCTGTTTTGAAATGGTGCACGTATTGTTGTTGTTGTTGTTTTGATTTGTATACCACCCCATAGCACTTAAAGCACTCTCTGGGTGGGTTAGAACCTGATTAAGCAAGGAACACAGAGCCCAGCCCACCCCCCAAGCAAGCTGGGTCCTCATTTTACCAACCTTGGAAGAATGGAAGGTTGAGTCAAGTTCAAACTAGCTCCCTGAACCTGTTGGAATTGAACTCAGGCCGTGAGCAGAGGCTTGGCTGCAGCCCTACAACTGTAGGCAGAGGGGGAGAGGGCAGTATTAGCCTTTTTGGAAAACGCTGAGAAGACTTCAAGATACAGGGAAACGGGTGAGCCCCACAGCCCCATCCCTCACCAGCAAAGCTGGTGAATAGAGCGTGGCATCAAGGCAAAGCCCTTTGTTGCTGCTAGAAAGGAGGCCGGGGAGATGACCAAGAGCCGAGGGAGGGGTGCAACAGAAGGGCCACAAGCTGGGGCTCACGGGAGAGTTCGCTGTCCCTGTGCATTGCACAAGCGTTTCCATATTCACATCAGTGGCTTCTCTTATGAACAAGGGAAGGGACAGCTAATTTATTTCACATTTGGTGGAAGTGCACCTGGGGGACTGCAGCCCCCCTCCCAGGCCTGTCCGTTTATATACCAGCAGAGACTCCTCGGGCACCTTAAAGGCTACCTCGTGTTGTTTGCACAAGGCTTTGTGGTACACGAGCCGCTTTACAGTGGACTTCTTAAAAGTGCTGCAATATTATAAAGGGTATAATTATACTGTGGGGAAAATCTGCATGGATCCATGCGAGTTTGTACCTGGGCAAGGTTAGCAGAGTAGGCATCCTTCCGCCACATGGCGTCTAGTGTGGCTGAGGAGGCCAAGTCGAGAGTGACAACAATCCCTCCCACACTGAAGACAAATGCAGTCTGTCCCCTGTCCGGCTCCCTGGTTTTGCTGGTTTCGGGACTGCCTCTTGGTCTCGGCCTGCTGGACAAGGGTCTCTTCAAATTGGGAGAGGCCGTGATGCACCCCCTTGCCTCCAGGCCCAATGCTCAGAGGTCAAGGTTTCCCATCTGTGGAGGTCCATTCCTAAGGCCTTCAGATCTCGCTTGCAGATCTCCTTGTATCGCAGCCGTGGTCTCCCTCTGGGGCGATTTCCCTGCACTCATTCTCCATACAGGAGGTCTTTTGGAATCCGACCATCAGCCATTCTCCTTCAACGCCAAGCCAACGCTGTTTCAGTAACCTATGCATGCTAACAATGATCAGAGACAGGGAGGAAATTGACAATCAGCCTCCGTTTGCAGCTTAAGGAAGCTTCTGCTGTAGCTGTCCCGGGGTCGGGAATTGTAGAAGGCAAAAGGCTACAGCAGAGCTACCAGAACAAGTTGCAAAGAAGGGCAGATGAGCAAATCTCTCATTTCTGTGTCTTTTTTTGTTGTTGACGCGCTGCCACCAAGCTTTCAGAAAGAAAAAAAAGAAAGAAATCTGTCCACTCAGGAAGCAATGTGAGAAAAGGTGCTGAACTGCCAGATCAAAAGGACTGCATTACTGTTTTTTTTACAACTTCCTAATGGGAATTTGGGGGGGGGGGGCAAGGAGCAACGGAGGGTCTTTTCTTCCCTGGGGCCTTGCGAAGAAAAGTATTTTAAGCCAGAGGGTGATGTCCTGAGAGATCAGAAGCATTTTACTTGAAAGCAGGGGGAGTCGAGTGATCCGGATGCCATTTCTGTACACCTGGAAAACCACGGAAAGGGGCGAGCAGAACGGACTCCCCGGCACACGAGGATTCAACTGCTCCCCCACCCCCCACCCCCCCACCAGAAAGTCTGCACGGAGATGCGGTGGAAAAAGCCAC